AATTAACCCTTAAGTTCCAAATACCCTTTAATTGGATTACCTTAGTACCCGACCGATTCAAAAATCTGCTTTCACTCTTACCAGAGGTCCAGAAAATCTCTGAATTGCAAGGTCAAATTTATGTACCCCAAAATAGATATCAAATTAAGAAGCATGCTTTCCATTTAATCCATAGCACATTCTCTTTTGTGTACTAATTATGATATGTTGTGTTATGTTACTAAAATTATAGAACAGCCCCATCATAGAATTATATTGGGGATATTAATGATTATATTGCTTTTGCTTATTTTAGGCATATTTGATTGTTGTTGTAAAAGATGTAGTAATAGAAATAGCTTTTATGTTTGTACCAATTATGAAATGTGTAATGAAAATAAAGGTTTAGAAAGGTAGTTGTGCCGTAAGCACAAAAGGGGGGACTGTGAAAGCAGGAAAAGAGAATAAGGGAATTTGTGTGCAGCCATCTCGGTCTTGGTAGCAAAAGAGCAAGAGTCAGGGTAAGTTTGTGGCCTGACAATGCAAGAGCTGTAATAACATGTTGCCTCTGCCTCTCGCCTCGAACGGAGATAAGGATAGAATGCTGTCTCTGGCAGGGACCTTGAGATAAGGAGCATCTGGGTGGAACTAAAATAACTGTTAGCCATTGGTGTTTGTAATGGGAAGGAGACTAATTGTTTAATGTTATTATATGGAACTGACAGTATATAAACTGCTTCATAATTGCTTGTATTTGAAGATCTGCATGGGAAGGGGGGGGCTTCCCCCCCCATCCGAATCTGTTTTTCCCTTTCTGCAGCTCGTAATAAAACTGCCTCTGGCTACTTGTGGCTTACAAATGCAGAGTGAGGACAACAGAGGGCATATCCTCAGCTGATATATCTCATTTTAGCTCCCTTGCCTTAACTGGCACAACTCAACTAAAGACAAAAGAGCTACACTGATTTACACCTTTGCCTGTATAGTGTTTTAAGCACCAAAATGAGAAGAACACAAACTCTAGGTGAAATCCTGGCACCACTGAAGGCAATGGCAAAGCTTCCATTGACTTCCACTGGACCAGGAGTTCCTCTAGAAGTCCTACCCGCACATTAACTTTTAGAAATACAAATATCTGATACTAAAAATTAAGATGTGAGGCTGGGGTTGGGGCTTGAGTTGGCACTGGAGTACACACAGCACTTCTCCTAAGTGTCCAGCTGTAATTCAAACTCAAATTATTGAGCTTAGTGCAGAAATCACTGTGAGAGATATTTTATGGTGTGTGTTAGGCAGGAAGTCAGACTAGAGATTGTAATTGTCCTTGCTGGCCTTACAATTGGTGAAAATGTTGATGATGGAGTTGAGGGGAAAATGCACACAATATCTCACTTTGCATTCAAATCAATATTTCTCCTTGTGCAAATGACATCTAGTATTGTAGCCCCACCAAGGACTATAGAAACCTAGTCATTGGCCCATGGAAGTTGTGCATACGTGGAGAAGACACATCAGTGGAGCCAAGACATCTCATAGGGTACGTCTACACTACAACGTTAATTCGAACTAACTTGGTCTAAGGCAGGCTTTCCTAATGTAGATGTGCTATCTCAGGGTATGTCTACACTACAGCGCTAACTCGAACTAACTTAGTTCGAATTAGTTAATTCGAACTAAGCTAATTCGAACTAACGGATCCAGACTAAAAAAGTAGTTCAAATTAGCGTTTTGCTAATTCGAACTAGCATGTCCACACTGAGTGGACCCTGAACCGGGCTTAAGGATGGCCGGAAGCAGTGCCGGCAGGGCATCAGAGGAGGACTTAGAGCGTGGAGATGCTGTCTCAGGCTAGCCGAGGGCTGTGCTTAAAGGGTCCCGACCCCCACCCCGGACAGACATTTCTCAGTGTGCCCCGCTTGAAAAGCAGTCCTGGCTTGGAGTGCCCGGAGTACCCACACTGGGCACATCACAGCACTCGGCCATCAGACCGGCTGCACTTGCCGCAGGCTGCCATCTGGGGAGAGGGGGTAATTGGGGGGCTGCAGGAGAGCTTCCACCCCCAGAAGCCCGCAGAGCCAGCCCAGTCCTCCCCATCGGGGGCTCGTACCCCATTCCTCCCTCACCTCCTTCCACTTATCCTTCCCTAGCCCCTTTTCTTGATGTACAAAATAAAGATAACGTGTCTTCCAAAATGGAATCTGTCTTTATTGAACAAAACTTGGGGAGACTGGGAAAAGGAGGTGGGAGAGG